TGTCAATACTTTTTTGCTTCACTGGAAAAATAACACAAAACACATTATATCCACCAAGTATACCACTACCTTTACAATCTGACAGTTTGGGTATGTACTGAAACTGATTCTTCAGGCAGTTGAAGGAAATGGTGCTTTCAATCTTGAACGTTTTAGGTCTACATCTTTCTGATGATGCTGTCGAAGATGATCAGGTACACCGCATCCATATAAAATGTTGTTGCGCAAGAAGCATTAAAGCTATTCATACATTTATGCAAACTTACATTCCAACAGATGTTCGAGGAGACAGACTTGAACAACAATGGGATCAAATTCGTTCATCCGTTGGATCGATCATGGATGGCTAGATCTGCAACTCTGGGGTTAACCTGCCGTTGTACATCCCTGTGTTGGCTCCACGTTCCTCCACATTCCTTGACTGTTGACTCCACCCACCAACGCAGCCGCCTGTTCCCCTTCCCCTTCCACTTCTTTTCCCCAACCAATTCGGCCTCCGCTGCTTCATCTTCTTTGGTTCTCCTACCGGAACTACCACCTGTGTGAGACGCCGACTCCCGCATGCACCAGTCCATCTTCTTTGGTTCTCCTAGCGGAACTACCACCGGTGTGAGACACCGACTCCCGCACGCACCAGTCCATCTTCTTTGGTTCTCCTACCGGAACTACCACCGGTGTGAGACGCCAACTCCCGCACGCACCAGTCCACGGCAGATCGGTCGTCACCCGTCCACGAGCCCAGTGGCACGAGCGGACGAGGGAACGGATTGATGTTATTGCCGATGTGCTCTTCCTGTCGTTCGACATGGCTGTCTCCTCGGCAGGCCGACAGGCGACAACGATGGTTGCCGAACTGCAACCCTTGGGTGGAGAGGAAGGTGTCCCCACCAATGTTAGATGTCTTCCGCCGCCCAGGAACGCCGTTGGTGGAAGGATGTCGTCCTCCGCCACAGAACATGCCATCCAGAGCGCAGCTTTGGGGATCGGGAGGGGCACCTTCAGACTTCAATTACAGATCTTTCTCCCTTACTTTCTTTCTTTGATTTCTACCACTCTTTTATTCAGTGTGTGAGTGCATGTGTTTGTTACGTGTACAGATTCAAGTGGCAGTAGGCTGCTATATATATATTTGGGATGACTTCTGTTTGGATATGCTTTTCCATATTTGATATCTGAAGGATTCGTTCTCAAAGTTGCATTCAGACTATAGGATCCGCGAGACACCAACAACGTTGAATGTGAAGAGGTTTGTGTATTTTATTTACTGAATTATTCTGCACATAATCCTGACAACTGAGCATACTACTTCAATATGTTTCGAGCATATCACCAATCATTGTGATTTGTCGATTTAGATGCCTATCCTTCAGCTATGTCAATACTTTTTTGCTTCACTGGAAAAATAACACAAAACACATTATATCCACCAAGTATACCACTACCTTTACAATCTGATAGTTTGGGTATGTACTGAAACTGATTCTTCAGGCAGTTGAAGGAAATGGTGCTTTCAATCTTGAACGTTTTAGGTCTACATCTTTCTGATGATGCTGTCGAAGATGATCAGGTACACCGCATCCATATAAAATGTTGTTGCGCAAGAAGCATTAAAGCTATTCATACATTTATGCAAACTTACATTCCAACAGATGTTCGAGGAGACAGACTTGAACAACAATGGGATCAAATTCGTTCATCCGTTGGATCGATCATGGATGGCTAGATCTGCAACTCTGGGGTTAACCTGCCGTTGTACATCCCTGTGTTGGCTCCACGTTCCTCCACATTCCTTGACTGTTGACTCCACCCACCAACGCAGCCGCTTGTTCCCCTTCCCCTTCCACTTCTTTTCCCCAACCAATTCGGCCTCCGCTGCTTCATCTTCTTTGGTTCTCCTACCGGAACTACCACCTGTGTGAGACGCCGACTCCTGCATGCACCAGTCCATCTTCTGTGGTTCTCCTAGCGGAACTACCACCGGTGTGAGACACCGACTCCCGCACGCACCAGTCCATCTTCTTTGGTTCTCCTACCGGAACTACCACCGGTGTGAGACGCCAACTCCCGCACGCACCAGTCCACGGCAGATCGGTCGTCACCCGTCCACGAGCCCAGTGGCACGAGCGGACGAGGGAACGGATTGATGTTATTGCCGATGTGCTCTTCCTGTCGTTCGACATGGCTGTCTCCTCGGCAGGCCGACAGGCGACAACGACGGTTGCCGAACTGCAACCCTTGGGTGGAGAGGAAGGTGTCCCCACCAATGTTAGATGTCGTCCGCCGCCTAGGAACGCCGTTGGTGGAAGGATGTCGTCCTCCGCCACAGAACATGCCATCCAGAGCGCGGCTTTGGGGATCGGGAGGGGCACCTTCAGACTTCAATTAGAGATCTTTCTCCCTTACTTTCTTTCTTTGATTTCTACCACTCTTTTATTCAGTGTGTGAGTGCATGTGTTTGTTACGTGTAGAGATTCAAGTGGCAGTAGGCTGCTATATATATATTTGGGATGACTTCTGTTTGGATATGCTTTTCCATATTTGATATCTGAAGGATTCGTTCTCAAAGTTGCATTCAGACTATAGGATCCGCGAGACACCAACAACGTTGAATGTGAAGAGGTTTGTGTCTTTTATTTACCGAATTATTCTGCACATAATCCTGACAACTGAGCATACTACTTCAATATGTTTCGAGCATATCACCAATCATTGTGATTTGTCGATTTAGATGCCTATCCTTCAGCTATGTCAATACTTTTTTGCTTCACTGGAAAAATAACACAAAACACATTATATCCACCAAGTATACCACTACCTTTACAATCTGACAGTTTGGGTATGTACTGAAACTGATTCTTCAGGGAGTTGAAGGAAATGGTGCTTTCAATCTTGAACGTTTTAGGTCTACATCTTTCTGATGATGCTGTCGAAGATGATCAGGTACACCGCATCCATATAAAATATTGTTGCGCAAGAAGCATTAAAGCTATTCATACATTTATGCTAACTTACATTCCAACAGATATTCGAGGAGACAGACTTGAACAACAACGGGAGGATAGATCATGGCGAATGGAAAGCGTTCACAAATAAAAATTTAGCCTTGCCGAAGAACACGACTCTCCCATACCCAGAATAAGTACCACATATGAGCATGTAGTGATGCAGGGTCATAACGATGTCATTCACTTCCAACCCGCGCTACAAAATTATTGGTATATTCAATTGACGATAAGCCTTATTCACTAATATTCGAAAAGCAAAAATATTCAGAAAGATGAATTAGCTACATACCTAAAATTTGATTCAACATGCAACTGTTGACGTGAGTGTTGGCTTATTTTTGTATGATCTTCAGGTCCATGCATGAAAAACAATTTTTCCAAATCAACTTTTTATTTTGAAAAAATAGGCCTAATGCTCTTCTTATGCTTAAATAGATAGAATTGCTTGCTGCTTGGAAGAAGAAAATCGCCAGTTTGTGTAACATGGATGCATTATTTTTATTTGTTTCTGCTCTTATACTTAAATAAATAGAAGTGTTTGCTGCTTGGAAGAAGAAAATCGCAAATTTGTGCAACATGGATGCATTATTTTTGTTCATTTATGTCCACATAGGCTTCCAAATTACTTATCTGCAGGATACAGATGGGCTTCTGTAAACAACTACATGAAGTACAGTTTACTTTTCATCAATTTTGCTCAGTTTTACTAGGTTGTGTTTATTTTTGTGAGGCTTTTCTAGAAACCTAATATATATTCCAAAACCTGAAATATATGCATGCATGCGTACGCCTCAGCTCCGATGAGGGAGAGGCGAGATGGATAGAGTGTTTGGCAGCTGCGAGGGACAGAGAAGGCAGGGGACTGTGGCGTATAATCTATTAATTGTACTGCAGATTGCAACTATGGTCACATCATCGCAGTTTTCCTGTGTTATCGTTGATAGATTATGCATTGACTTTTAGTTTTGTCAGAAGTAAAGTACGCTACATAGAAAAGTTATTTGCTATTCTATCTATTTTTCCCTTTGCATATAACTGTTTACTTGCAATTTGAGTTCACATGCTTTACTTGATTGCTTCATTTTAATCAAAGCACAACTAATCCCCACTTTGGTAACGTCCCACCATTGGTTTCCTTCATAGTAGTACAACTAAGCTCTTTGAACCTTAGCGATGGTAAGAATTGTTTTACTTATTTAGCTGCATTCAAGTTGAGGACAACTTTATTGGGAAAAAATAGATAGAAAAGGGTAATAACAATGAGGTTTTTTTCTCCCAACGGAGCCAAACAACCTATTAGCAAGTCCATTTAGTTGTCTTCTGTTTGGGGGAATTCTATTTAATTGTTAGTAGATAATATTATTAGAATTTTTAGAAATTATAAGAAAATGTCATTTGTTATTTTTGTTAGCTTACACATGTCTAAGCAGCAATTGATTCTTATAAAATGTTCCACAGCAACGCGCGAGGTATCATCTAGTTTATGTATAATTATGCTTAACTAAGTCAGTTTCGGTCACGTCGGCATAAATAGGTCGGTCTTCCTTGAGTGCACCTGCCGATCCAAATAAAGAAGTGAACGTGTACGTTTGCCTGACCGACCCACACAGAGCAGACGCGTTGGAGTTGCTCTCACGGCTTCGATGACGGAGCCGCTTCCGTGTTCCGTCTTTTTGGCCTCCCACGTTATGACTCCATTCTCGTACCACCGAACAGCGGGGCACATGACATTGATGCAATTTTACAGGAAAGTCAACTTCCTTTTGCGCACCTCACAGAATGAACCACCCTTAAACTGACAGCAGGCCGCCGGCCCACGTCATCGTCCTCTTTTGGGTTAAGCCCGCACGCCCGCACGCGCACCTCGGCTGGGCCTGCCTGTCATTCAATCAAACGTATTAAAGTATTTTTTTCCCAGTTCCCACGCACCTTCTCCCCCGAAAGCCCAAACTGGCGCAGCCGAGCAAACCCAAACCCCAACTCCCCTTCCCGGCGATGTCGCTGCCGTCGCCGCCGCCGCCGTCGGGCCGCCCGCGCCGTGCGGCGTCGGCGCGTCCGGGGTCGTACGACGAGTCGCTGGTCGACACCGAGCTGCAGGCCTACCTTGGGAACTCCCCGTCGCGGCGCATCCGGCGCCTGCGCCGCCTCTCCCCGGAGGAGCGCCAGCGCGAGACGGAGACAGAGGCGCTCATTGCGCTCTCCCTGGGCTTCCCCATCGACGCCCTCCTCCCCGCCGAGGAGGCCATCCTCGCGGACGCCGATGCCGCCGCCCCCAACGACTACATCGTCGTCCGCAACCACATCCTCGCCTCCTGGCGCGCCGACCCGCGGGTGCCGCTCCCCCGCGCGCGCGTGCTCGAGACCGTTGCCTCGAGCTACGACCACCTAGTCGCCGCCGCGCACGGCTTCCTCACCCGCGAGGGCCACGTCAACTTCGGCGTCTCCGCCGCCTTCCCCGCATCCTCTCCCGCCGACGCGCTCCAGGCCCCAGCCGCTTCCGTCCTCGTCATTGGTGCTGGCCTCGCCGGGCTCGCTGCCGCGCGGCAGCTTCTCCGCTTCGGCCTCCGCGTGCTCGTCCTGGAGGGCCGCGCCCGCCCTGGTGGCCGCGTTTACACCTCCCGCCTAGGCGGGGGCCAGGCCGCCGTCGAGCTCGGTGGGAGCGTCATCACTGGCATCCACGCCAACCCGCTAGGCGTGCTCGCCCGCCAGCTCGGGATTCCTCTCCACAAGGTGCGTGACCGCTGCCCACTGTACCACACTGACGGCCGGACTGTGGGCACCAGGCTAGATAGAAGTATCGATTTGGTGTTCAATACGCTTCTTGACCACGCCACCAGGCTGCGGGAGGCTCTCAAGGAAGCCGCAGAGAGGATCTCGCTGGGGGAAGGGATCGAAAGGCTGAGAAGGTTGTACAATGTGGCCAAAAGCGAGGAAGAGAGGGAGGTTCTGGACTGGCATCTGGCAAACCTTGAGTTCTCCAATGCTGGTTGCTTATCGGAGCTCTCTCTGGCGCACTGGGACCAGGACGACCAGTTTGAGATGGGTGGTGACCATTGCTTCTTGGCTGGAGGGAATTCGAGGCTGGTACACGCCTTATGTGATGGTGTACCAGTGTTGTATGAGAAGACGGTGAAGCGGATTGAGCATGGAGTAGATGGCGTGAGCATCACAGTGGAAGGAGGGCAGGTTTTTCAGGCGGACATGGCGCTCTGCACTGTTCCGCTTGGAGTGCTCAAGAGTGGGAGCATTGTGTTTGACCCAGAGTTGCCTGAAAACAAGCTTGGGGCGATTCAGAGGTTGGGGTTTGGTTTGTTGAACAAAGTGGCTATGGTGTTCCCATCTGTATTTTGGGATGAGGAAATTGACACATTTGGGTGTTTGAATAAGGAGTCCAGCAAGCGTGGGGAATTCTTTCTCTTCTACAGCTACCATACCGTCTCTGGCGGTGCAGTACTTGTTGCACTTGTGGCGGGAGAGGCTGCTTTGGAGTTTGAAAAGGTTGATCCTGTTGTTACACTTCATCGAGTACTTGGTATTCTTCGAGGTAATCACCACTAAAATTAACAACCATGTTCACGGTGTCTTCACAAGTTTAGTTGATATATTCAATGAATGTTGGGAGTTAGATCATCTATTTGTAAGAACTAGATGATACCCCCGCGCGTTGCTGCGGGAATTCATAGTAGTAATAATATATATGATCAACATTTATGTATTGAATAATATTTTAGTTAGAATCATAATCTGGTAGTTGCATGGACTACATAAAGTTTATTATGTTTGCATGAATAACTCGTACTTCAATTGTAAAAACGGTGACATTTAAGAGAATTATGCATTATTTTTGTGATTTGTGCACTCTTCGGAGATGTGTCATTCCATTTATTACACGATCATCAGTTACAACTGGATGAGCATATGCTTGGAGTTGTTTCATGCTATTATCTACTTTGTTGTTTCACCTATGAACAATCTTAGCAGAGGTATCTGGTGCCTATTATTTTATCGTAAACGCTCTGTTCTCTCTCTCTATATACCAACCATAGTATTGAGGCATA